GTCGCAAAAATTTAAGTTTTTCTAGGCAAGCTAATAGAGCTATGCAATTTTGAAATACTTCAAGTTGTTCCATAAATTGAATCAGTACGCGAAAAGCTTAAAAGTTTTCTAAGCAAGCCCCGCAAGTTAATCACGCTGATAAAATTTGAATTCTTTCAAACCATTTCATAGACCAAATCGGCTCGCAAAAAGTTTAAATTTTTCCAAGCAAGGTTTAAAGCTATGAAACATTGAAATTTTTCAAGATATTTCATAGTTTGAATCAGCTTGCAAAAAGCTTCAAGTTTTTCGAAGCCAGCTATTCAAGCTATGAAACAATTCAAGTTATTTCAGAAACCGAATCAATTCGCGAATTTTTTTTCGAAGCGAGCTAATCAAGCTATGAAAACTTTAAATATGGCAATTTATTACGTGGAATAAACCAAATCAATTTGTGAAAATAATTCCGAAGCAAGCTAATCAAGCAATGAAAAGAAAATTTGAAATGTTACAAGTTATTTCGTGGACTAAATCAGTTCGCAAAAAGTTGAAAGTTTTTCTAAGCAAGCTTTTAAATCTATGAACATTGAATTGTTACAAGTTAATTCATAGACTGAATCGGTTCGCGAAAATCGTCAAGTATTTTGAAGCAAGCTAATCGAGCTATGAAACTTTGAAATATTTCAAGTTATTACGCGGATCGAATCGTTTCAAGGAAAATTTCAGTTTTCCTGAGCAAGCTGTTAAAGCTATGACACTTTGAAATATTTCAAGCTATTTCTTGGACCGAATCGGATCGCGAAAAGCTTTAAGTTTTCTAAGCAAGCTGTTCAATATATGAAACTTTGAACAATTGCAGATTATTTCATGCACTAAATCGGTTCGGGAAAAGTTTTAAGTTTTTCTTAGCAATCCTTTAAAGCTATGAAACTTTGAAACATTTCAAGTTATTTCTTGGACCGAATCAATTCGCGAAACTTTTCAGTTTTTTCTAAGCAACCTTTGAAAGCTATGAAAATTTGAATGTTTTCAAGTTATTTCATAGACGGAATCGGTTCGTGAAAAAATTTTTTAAGCAAGCTTTCAAAATTATGAAATTTTGACTTATAACAAGTTTTTTTTATAGACTGAATCGGTTCGCGAAAAGCTCATGTTTTTCTTAGCAAGCTTTTGAACTTACAAAAATTTGAATTAAAACAAGTAACTTCATAGATTGAATCGGTTTGCGAAAACCTTTAATTTTTTTTGAAGCAAGCTATGAAACTTTGAAAAAATTTTGAAGTTCTTTTGTGGACCGAATCGGTTCACGAAAAGTGTCAGATTTTCTAAGCAAGATTTTAATGCTATGAAACTTTGAAATAAATCAAATTATATCTTGGACTTTTAAATCTATGGAATTTGAATTACTACAAGTTAATTCATAGACTGAATCGGTTCGCGAAAATCTTCAAGTTTTTTGAACTAAGCTAATCGAGCTATGAAACATTGAAATATTTCAAGTTATTACGCGGACCGAATCGGTTCGAGAAAATAACAGCTTTCCTGAGCAAGCTTTTAAAGCTATGAAACTTCGAAGGATTTCAAGTTATTTCATAAACCGAATAATTTCGCGAAAAGCTTAAGTTTTTTGAAGCAAGCTAGTCAAGCTATGAAACTCGAAATATTTAAGTTATTTCATAGACTGAATCGGTTCGCCAAAAGTTCAAGTTGTTCCAAGCAAAGCTATTTCCATTTCTTTTCATAGACCGAATCGGTTCGCAAAAACTTTCTTTCTTAGCATGTAGAGGTTGCTGTTTTTAAGTGATTCGTTCCAGGCTGAATTTTTGACAGTCCCAGACAGAAATTAAATGAAATTTTGGACGAAAATTAGGCAGGTACTGTCTAGCCTTGAAGTTGGATCGAGTTCAAATTCTTCTCATGGTTGCTCTAAATGATTCTTAAACGTTACGCTCAATAGCATTTTAAACATTGTCTCCTAATATTTCTTAAGCATTGTGTTCAGTTAAACATTGCGTCCATAGCACATCCAGAGTTTCATTTAATATATAAGATTGAAGATTCAACTGAGTCACCAATTCAAGCTTACTGTAAAAATACGTATTTTAGTTCTGCTACAAAAAAGCGTATTTCAACACAACTTAACTTAAATCCGCAATTTTCACAGCCTAAGGGTAAAATGAGCGCATAACGAGTTTAAGTCTGTGTGTTTTGTTACATGAAATTGTAACAAACAATAAATTTGATTGAGGTTTGTCTCAATGTAATTGTCGAACTCTTATGATTGACCACGAATTTATCAGGGAATAAAAAACAATAACCGTCAAGAAAAACTGAAAAAGTTCAAGACAGCTCTCTCAAAAATCGAAATAATCCCAATTTCAAAAACTGATAATCTCATACAACCGCGATCCTTTTTTCACAGTTAGACCTAGTAATGATTGTCCCAAAGATGAAACAGGTTGCAATAATACAACAGGAAGCAGTAGCATCAATGCGTTCTGCCGTGTAGTAGGCTTCAACATTGTTGCTCTGCCATAAACCGATATCTGAATCTTCTGATCAGTAAAAAGGCCGTTCGCCCTAACAATCGTTGATAGATTTTTCGAATAAGCTAAACAATGTTCGATTTCGGCAACAAGTTGAACTGAACCAAGAAATATGCGTCCAATTGTGCGCCTACAAATATTTCTCAAAGCAATTGACTGGTTTCCATGGGGGACCTCCCCCACGGTTGGTCCTGCACTGAGCAGGCCGGGGGCTAATAATAAAAAAATTGACTGGTTTCCAACTCAACGTTATCATGCCTATAAAGAATAATCAAAGGTTTGCCAGAGCCATTTTAAAACGCCATTTCTCTTCAAATTTGGTTGAGCTGTTCTTATAGTTTCTCCTCTACAAAACCCAGAACACAGCTAGAAGTTCTTTTTGATCTTACTCCATCGTTCTCAGCAAAACAATATAATTGGTTTACTACGGTTGTGCAAAACAACCGCGAGCCTAAGTTAGCAAAATGACTTATCGTGGCGGCAATAATTGTCCCGTTTGATCAAATTTTGGAGAAATTAAGAAAATAGTCGATCGAGTTGACCTTCGTAAAGAGCTGGATGAGGCTGTCTCTTATTTTCATAGAAAATTTCATCAAAGGAAAAAAATTTGTCTCCATTACGACGAGCTTGTTTCCATTGACTTACTAGAAGAAAAATTGACGTATCAACAGATGACGCAGAATGGTTTCACATCTTTGTTTCAAGATGTCCAAATTCAATCTACGCAAGTCAAGTTCCATGCGGTCAATCAAGAGTTCTGAGGGTCGTGGGAGAACAGTAAGTCCAGTTGTAAGTCAATATAGCAGATTTTTTCGTATTTCAAACGAATTCATTTGTTTTGTTTTTTTTTTCAAAACATTTGAGTTTCCTATCGTCTTAGTTTTTCTAATCATTATTTGACAATTTTTTTTGCAAATTGCTTATTTTACTCTGACTGTCGAATATTCCTAAGCTCTAGTTTTTCGTTCAGATCTTTTTAGTACCCCACGTAGAAAAAACGGCAATAAATTGAAAAACTTTTTTGATATATTAAGACAAGGGTCGGAACATTCTTTGCTACTTGCACAGTAACGGCTATCCTTATTTTTGTTTGTTTGTGCTTTTATTTATTGTTGACTTTGAAGATTCTGCGTTGAAAAAATTGCCTTAAACAATATTCAATGGAGCATTTAATCATTGATCTTTCACATTTAATAAATTTTTGATGTTTATTCGGTATGTTCTGCAGAATACGTCACAGACATCGGCTATTGTTTAATTGTACTGAACGAAGAGTAAAACGACAAAGGATAAACTGGAACTGTAAAAATTTGGCAGCATCTTCTTTGCCTCAAAACAATTTTTTGACACCAACTGAAAACGAGTTGACGGAGGCCAAACTTGGTTTTGATAAATCCGAACTGGGTACAAGTAATACGCGTAATTCTCGAGCGCAACATCGAAAACCATGCGGCACGGAATTGAAGCACAAGCTCCAATTTCTGGACTTGCCAAAAGCGGTTTAAAAAAATAAAAAAGCACAAAAACACGATAACATAAAAAGATGGCTATCCATCAACACCGTCTATTATATTAAAAGAAGAGCATGAACAGCTGGACCCGAAAATTATATTAAAACAACGAAGTCAAAAAACCTTCAAAAATGTGGAAACAATTTTTATCTTCCAAATCTTTCTTAGTAGCATGAAGATTATTTTAGCATTAAAGCTCAATTCGAGCACTAAATGAGCCTTGAAAAAAATTCGGAAACCGACCAGGTCGACAATCCTGACGAAAAAAGTCCTGTACAAGAACTTCCTCGGTTCGCTGATAACCATGTGAGCAACCGATCTGTGACCAACGTAGCTTTGACACATGAACACAGTGATGATTTAAAATATCCGGACAAAACGAATGAAAGATTTAAAACGCGTTTTTTTTTCAAACTATGTTGATCTTAGACAAAAAAATGATGAAACAAATGTTGCAATCAAAAATTACGCCAAAACTACCGATTAAATTGCTGACAAAAATATATCACTCTGAGCCGAGCCTCTTGCCTAGTTCCGCAAAAGTTAACAAAGGTAAAATCTCCAAAAATTGCAGCAAAACATTAAAAAAATTTTAAGAATGAAAACTTGGTATCTATAAGGTGAAAAAGACATTTTCAAGCTATAAAAAGCGAATATTTTACCCGCGTTAAGCATTGATGAACTACGGAAGGGCTCAATATGATATAGTTCTGTGAGCAACTGAACCGGTATTTTTGGTGTAGTTTTTGATTGAACAAAAAATTCCAAAATGATCTGTTTTTGGGGTAAAACTGCGGGTCCAATTTAAATTTTAGGTCCAAGACCTAGGAACCTCATCAGAAAAAACTTAACTCAGACCTCGACAAATCAGAAAAAAACTTCATGATACTGAAGAAATAAATCGAATTTTTGAATACTAAGTACTGAATAACATTTCGTCCTTTTAAAACACGTGAGGGTTAAAAAGTGTATTCATGGAAACTCAAAAAACTACTCAAGCTGAAAAGGTTCACAACAATGAGTTCAAAGCGATCAAATATCCATCAAAGTAAGCGCCGAGTTCAATGACTGCTGATATGCAATCAGTTGCTGTTTTAATCTATCATGCAGTTCCTTCGCCGTCTTTGTGCCGAGATCCATCATGGTCGCAAAAGATGAAAAGGACAGACTGTGGGTTCCATACTTCCTGCAACCGGACACTCTGCCTTTGGTGTCAACTCCCATTACAATTTGAGATGTAGAACACGCTTCCTCTTCTATCGTGGCATCCACCACGTGTGCTGATTGGGAGGAGGAGGATCCTATTTTGGAGACAGTGACCAAGAGAGGACATAATTCGAAGTTGAACCACTCAGTTTGGTCCATACATTCATTCATGTCACTCATCACGTGAATTTCTTCACTTTCACTATCGTACTCCACTGATGGGATCTAATATTCAAAATTGGCAATCAATTCTTGTTAAATGGACTTTCGAATACATTAAACAATGAAAAAATGTTAATAATTAAATCTGCATATTTTTCGAAAATTCAAAGAGGACACCAAACGTTCTTTGAGGGGAAGTCTTCTTCTGAATCTATTTTTTGAAATATGTTATGTATTCCTGAAATCCGAAATTTTACAGAACACACCTGTGTGTCAAACAGTGCCGCTTTTACTGCAAGTGAAATGATGTCATACAGAGATCCGGCCGAACATTCTAGAATAACGATATCAATGTTCAACAGCCAGCAGTGTTTTCCAGCCACTATACACAATTTGCTGAGGTTTGACACAGCAGTAGCCCCTTGACAGTAGACACTGTTCAGCACATTGTAGATGTCTGTTCCCAGTTCCTTCCCCTCCCGCCCTTCGAAACGGGGACTGGCCAAGGCGGAACAGTCCACGAAGAAATCTATCCTGCCCTGCAGAATACAAACATGCGATGATTAAACTAAACAGTATCGAGAAAATACATAGTGATTATCAGTGCAATTTGAATTGTTTGTTATCATAAACTTACCAATTCTAAATCTTATCTATTCTCTGAGATAAGACTTTTTTGTCATAAAAGCTGAATTTAATGCTACGGCCACTTCACGAAGTGAGGAAAAGGAACAATGAGGCACTTTTTTTCCGATTTCTCCAAGCCCTAGGAAAGCTCGTAGGGTTCAAGTAAGGTTATTTTGAACCTCTTTCAGCCGTGATTTTGACTCGGTTGTCAAAAAAAATTTGAAAAAGTTGTCGAGAAAGATCGGTCCGATATTTGAGACCGGACTTTGGTGACATCCAATCTAATTCTACTCCAATTTTTACGTTTCTCAGTCATAATTACTTCTCAATTTGCAATAATTTTTTACCTACACTAAAAGCCTTTTATAAAAAAAGTTTTTGAAGTATCGCTGTTATCTGAACATTAGTATAGCAGAGCTACTAGAATAGCAACCGGCTATCTTGGTTCTAACTTAACTCTTACATGAGCCTTAAAAAGAGTACAAATGCTCTTTGAAAGCATACCTGATCAGGTGTCTTGATATCTGGACTGTCCAACTCGACCTTCACTCCAACCAATACATCTGTATTGCCTTCCACTTTGACTCTGGCTGACCCATTGGAAGAAGACACCACTCCTGTCTCCACTGAGAACTCCCTGTAGTCAGTGTTAGTTCGTCCATCGTTGCGACAGTCTTGCTCCACTCCATGTACAATGAATAATTTCTCCGCCTCCGATAGAATCACATTTGCCATCACGTCGAATCACTTTCGAGGCTATATTGTCAATTCATCTCAAATATTCAGTCATTTAATGAGCCAAATGATTTAGCTTGACTATAAGAAAAATTGGTTTAAAGCCAGAGAATTCAAACATGCAGGATTAAAATTAACTGCTCCAATTAAAAATCAAAAGTTGCACACCAATCTTCAGTGTCTGCCTTGTGGAAAAGGGTCTTAAACACAGAAGCGAAGCGGAGCTTCGCACCACTCGCGTTACAAAGCAAAAATAAACTTTAAGTCGAAAAAAAAAGAAAATTGTTCAAAAAAAACAAGGAACCAAAATTTTGATAGTCTCGATAAAAGACAACTAGGTGCCCAGCTACGACTAGAGATACGTGTTTGCTATTTTTGACTTTTGATACTGATGCGTGAGAAAATGTGTAATTTCAAAAATTTGACTTAGCTCAAAACCTTAGTTGTTTCTCTACTAAAATAAGTTAAGGGTGAAAGTTTTTGAGATACTCGAATTTTCACAAGGACAACATGTCTATTACAAAAAAATTAGGAGTCGCCGCTTCTGCCGGAAAAATTCTCGCACGCGTTGTGTGTGATTGAACTTTTCATCTCAGATTTGATACGGTACTTTTTAAGAAAATTCAAAAAGTTTCTAAGAAACGGTCGAAAGCTCAATCATTTGGCTTTCCGAAATCGATTTTTTGCAAAAAAAACAGGTCATGGCTGCTAAGGTAGAGAAGATTCTCGGGTTGTTTAATTGAACACTTAACCTGAGAATTGGCAGAGTAGTTTTCAAGTGAAGTCAAAAAGTTTCCAAAAAACGGTCAAAGTTTCAAAACTTTGACTGTTTGAAGGTCATAAATTTTTTCTGAAGAAAATTGGGAGTAGCCTATTATAATGGCAGGCTTTCAACAATCTGTTGTTTCGATTAAACCTACTATACCAGATTTGTCAGGATAATTAACCAGAAAAGTCCAAACAACAGTCATCAAATCAAAATATTGACATTTCCGAGAATCATAGCTTTGTGTATAATTTCGATTGAAACCAAAAACAGATTTGGGAGGGTAGTTCTCGAGAAAACTCAACAATTTAAAAGTGGTCAAAACAACAACTTTTGACTTTCCCAGGGCCATAAATTTTTGGCAAAATTTTGGGCGTAGTTGCGTATGCAAAGGAGCCTTCCACAACCCGTTCTTTGGATTCAACCCTAAACCTCCCTCAGTTATGTGAGGGTAGTTTTCGAGAAAATTCAATAAATCGAACAACACCGGCCAAAAACTTAGGAATTTGACTTTTCCGAGGGTGATAACTTGATTCAGCTTGACTATAAGAAAAATTCATTTAAAAGCCATAAAATTCAAACATTTACAGAATTAAAATTGATTGCTAGAATTAAAATTCAATACTCGCACACAATCTTCACAAGCGAGCGACACTGTAAAAGAATTGTTCATACAAAATATATGCAACCGACATTTGAAAAAGAGTTTTGAACACAAAGGCGAATATTTGGATGCCTCAATAAAAGACAATTAGATGCCCAGCTAAACTGGAAGTAACTGTTTGCGATTTTTTAAATTCGTTAACTGAGAATTTTAAAGGGGTAGTTCCCGAGAAAATTTTAAAAAATGAAAAACAAAATCCGAGGGCCAAGTAGCAAAAAATGTGGGCGGAGCTGCGTCTTCCATTAGCTAGGCAGTCTTTCCATTGATATCATTTTTGAAAATCGGTAGAATACTTTGAGAAAAACTTGAATTTCAGCACAAAGTGAAAAAATTTTCTAAGGCGTCGCAATAAAATTTACAAAATCAATCCCATACATTTTCATAATGGGAACAGAAAAAAATTAAGACGCGAAAAAAAGCCGACAATATTTGAGCAGACACCAGTTGAGCGAACAAAAAAAATTGATTTAATGAGAACTTTCAAAGGTTTCAAGTCCTCCTAAAACTACAATGAACAATACTTGCAACTACCATGATACTTGCTTACAACACCAGAAAAAACCGTGACGTGGCAACTAAGCCGACAAAACTTGAGCAGATAAACGAAAGTCTGACAAAGCAATTTACGAAAGTCCGACAAACTTTCGATCAAAAATCAAGTTCAAAATTTGTAAAAATTTGTTTGCGGGGGAAAAAGCGTAGTTCCCGAGTACAAGACACTTGCTTTCGCAAGTGTAAAGCAGAAACCAAGTCAAGGCAACCTTCAAAGAAAACTCCACCTTCAAACTAGAAGTCGGTCACACTTTTCGTGGCCTTTACGCTTTCGCTATTCGACAGTGGAGTTTGCCCTCATTACAACAAAGGAAATTAATTGAACTTAAAAAGAAATCAAAAGACAAACCGCAAAAAAATCAAATTTCAGCATAAACAAATTTAAAGACATTTTCCTACAAAAACGGGAATAAATCATAACCACCAGTAGAAGTGTCTTCACTAAATTACTTGACACTTAACGGGAACACTTTGAATCCGAATATTAGACTAAACGTTTTAAAATATGATACCTCACTCGAAATCAACTGACGTAACCTTGTTACGATGATTTTGCGCGATGTTTATTTGTACTTCTGGTATTTGTACTCCTGAAGGGACTTTAGTATGCTACAATATCTCAATGCTACGCGCTTTTTTGAGCTGAATGATTTTTTCATAATTAATTACGGGTAAGTGAAAATGACATGAAACTCGCTGTAAAAAGTATGAAACAGTTTAATATTAAATTAACATCCAAAACAAATGAAACATGCTGAAATATTGATAGATATTTATAAATTTGAAAACAATCAAATCAAAATATTATTGAAATAGAACAGTCAAACTACGTAAACAGACAAACAATTTACGAATGTTATTCAAGCTACGTAAACAATTTGCGAATGTTATTTAAGTTGCTAAAATTCTACGGCTGCGAAGAGTACAGATGATGTCCATCAGGGTGCTGAATTTGCATGTGGGTAGGGTTGTACTGAGACGATGGCTGGTAGGGGTGGTGCATTGGCAGCTGATGCGCCATAGGATAGTGAGGGGGAGACCTTCTCGCTTGCAGTGCCTGGGATGGCTCTTGGGGTGGTACCACTGGTGCTTGAGGTGCTGGTATATTGGTAGGCGTAGACGTTACAGTACCCGATGATTGCGTGGTTGAAACTTGGTCTGGGTGCTTCAAGCATAGATGACAACTCCAGCTACCTGAAACATCGTTTAAAATAAGCAAGAGCTATATCATACTTCCCTTTCAGCAATATGCTGGCGATCTTCATCAAAATCTATTTCAGATGAAGTGATGATTTATAAAATATGAAAGACGTTACAAAAGCAGAAAGTAAATATCAGTTATTAAGAGGCGTCGGAATAAAGACTTGCCTTCGGGTGGCTCATCAATTGGTGGGTTGAGACAGTACATGTGGAAGCCCCTATCGCAGTCGTCACAGAAGAGAAGCTGGTCCTAAGAGACAATCTTACCGTTAGTTCAATACAAATTCAGAGTGTGTAAGTTTAGAAGCTTCAACTGAACCATTTCAATCAAATTTTAACGTATTTTGATTGAAATATCTTTGACTATTTTTCAAATTTTCAATAAATATTTCAAAATTGGAATCAGAAAATAGAACGCACGTCGTTTTCTGAGGTTCCGCAGGCGGTGCAAGCCTTGCACTCAATGCACTGCCAGTTGTACTCCTTCACTCTCTTTCTCATCGTCTCACTGAAGGCCAGACAAGTCGGGTGGGCTGCAATGGACCACACATTATACACTATCACAATTGAAAAGGGTTATATGCATTCAATATTCGCACAATAAATGATTTTATAGAGATTTAATGATTGGTATCCCATCTTTAAATCTTCTGCACATGCGATATTGATTGCTTGGAAATGATTTATTACTCAACAATATGTAAAAGACGAAGCTTTTCTTTTTCTGGCAGAAGATACCATAAATAAGCCATCGTGCGCTACCTGTTCTGTGGCAGTCCGAACACGAAATCTGAACTTCAGGCTGACCAGTCTTCAGATTCTGCTCATCAGTGCCCTGACACAAACCACACTTGCCCTCTTCCCCACTCCCTACTACTGCAGCCGACACACCCCCACTCTCCCCTCCGTGTGAAGCAGCATTACCACCACCACCACCACTTCCCCCTTCGCCGCTATTCGGAGGGGGGTTCTGTCTGCTGTTTGCCAAGTACATCAAGTGTGGGTTTGAAGACGGAGTTCCACTCATGTGGTCGTAAGCGTATTCCTGGTTGCTGTCTCCGTGGTTGCCATGCATGGATGAAGGGTAGACCATTGGGGTAGTTTGATTTGAACACTCCGAATCTTAACAACCGATTCTAATCTAACGGCAGCTCAAAATCTATTATTTCAAAAACAACAATTAATTCCATATAAAATGAACACCTGTTTCTAATTTTGAGTTGAATTTTATAATATTAAATTGGCTAATTATTGCCAAAATGATAAACTCAAAATTCAAATGATGAACAACCGATTCAAAAGATTTTGGATTCAAAAGAACTATTTTCGGACCGTAAATTTTTAATGGTATAGACTTCAAAATTTCCCAGAAAATCAAATAGGATGAAACTCATCATTATCAATTATCGCTTCTATTACACAGAGGCTAAGCAGAGTTGCGATAGAAGACAAACATAAAAAACATAAGAAAAAAATTTAAAAAGTTTTAAAAAAAACAAGATTTAAATTTAAACGTTCATAAGTCATGTAGAAGTTCATTTTATGCAAAGATGCGAGCCATTTGAATATTAAATTAGCAACAGAAGACAACAAAGCCGATAATCTTTGAGCAGACAAAATTGAGCTGAACAAAAAAGATTTTATAAAAATTTTTAACTCCCCCCTTAAAGTACATTTAACATTTAACAACATTTGCACTTCAATTTTCAATGAAAATTGCTAACACGACAAGAAAATTTCCTGATAAGAAAACTAAGTCGACAATCTTTGGGCACACACAATATGAGCCGGAAAATTTTTTTTTTTCAATTCCACCCTGAAACTACATTGAACAACTTTTGGATTTGCAACTACAATGAAGATGCTTCAGCGCAAGCAAATTTTTTGATGTGACAACTAAGCCGACAAAACTTGAGCTTAACAAACGAAAACTTCAACTTTTACTGGGAAAAAGTTGTCAGAAAAAAATTTGAAAGGAAATTGTAATAAAATTTTGAGCGATAAAATTGTTTGAATTTTCAACTTGTATTCTTCAACCGACCTAATATGTTCAAATTTTAAAAAAATCTCGTTTTTGCCGTTTAGCTGATGCAAATAGTTTCACTAAATCGACAAAACAGAAACCGAAATAAATTAGACCTAATAAAATTTTATAAACTACAAATTTAGAAACTTATACTACAACTAAACTTATATTAAACTTAAATTAAACTTATATAAACTAACTTATATTAAACTTATAAACTACAAATTTATAAACAGGAATTAATCAAAGACACCTGAGACTAAAATGAAAACTGCTTTCAGCGCAAAAAAAATCCGCGTGTGGCAAGTAAGCCGACAAATCATTAAACGACAAACAAAAGTTATTAAACTATTCAAACTTTCCAAGACTATTCAAACTTTCCAAGAAAAAAAATCAATTTCATACACTGAAAAAACAAGGTCCGACCGGGACTCAGACTCCAGACCATAGGGTGCAAAGCCAACTGCATTAACTTTATGTGGAAATGGGCCTGGAAGTTTCTAAGGTTCAATAATAAAGCAACATCAATTTTTTCCAAATGTGTAAGAAAAGTTGTTTACGGGAAAAAAAGTCCAGCTCTCGATTACAATACACTTGCTTTCCGCAAGTGTTATCATAACAATTGAGTTTTACGCAAATCTTCAAGATTCGAGTTCATTGCAAATTATTCTGCACTCCAATAATCTGATCTCCGAAAACACGAATGACAAATTTCTGTAAGCATTAATAAGTTTAAAAATCAAGTTCACCTGGTTCGGACGCGAGAGAGTTTGTGTTGAGCATCAGCTCTGCCGAGATGGTTGAGTGGTGTTCCCTCACACCACCAGACAGGGAGAGAGGAGAGGCCGCATGGTAGGGAGAGGAAGTTGAGGAATTAATGGGGTGAGCTGACTTCTTGTGGTTGGACAGGGAGCCTTTTGATTTGTATTTCTTTTCACATTCTACCACAAAACAGAAACGCAAACATTAATGATTCAAGGATAGATTGCGCCAAGAGATCAAAATCATTATTAGGATCTTTAACCTGTTATTTCATAATGTATATTTCAAATGTCCTTCTAAAAACTCATAACTTTTGAGAAAGCCTTAAAACAACAAAATGCAGTAGACTAACGCCCCAACCGTATTGATTTTAAATCAGGTGAAGGCTCAGAAATTGAAATCTACACGTTTTCGAAAGTCAATTTATCAGAAAAAGCGTCTTACGGTCACATGGATAGAACTTCTCCTCGTCTGGCGTGTCTCTTCCTCCAGGGTATGGATTGTATTGATAGTGAGAATGGGAGTAGGTTGCTCCCTGGTGCTGCTGCTGAGGATGGTGATGGTACATTGCACTGTTGAGATGAGAAGCGGACGCACTGTAGGGAGTGTAGGAGCCAGATAGATGTGAACCAACTCCACTTGACATGCCGCCTCTTTTCCTGCCACGCCCACCTCCACGGCCAACTCCCAAACCCTGAATTGAAACAATGCTTTTAGTTTGCACATTCCGCAAAAACACTTGTGTGGACCATGACAACATACCCTTTTGGCATATTTGCGCTTCTTGGGCTCAAAGTCTGCGTCGTCCTTGTCGGGTCCCGACTCAGTGCCCAGCTCCACATCCGACTCCTCGACAAACTCCTCGTAGTCGACATACTGAAATGCAATAGTCTGAATTTCACAAAGTCGTGTCACATGTTTCAGTATTACTTAGAGTCGCTTTTCAAGATAGAAAATTCTAATTAACTTTGCTCAGTAAAACAAATTTCACAGCCAAGCAAAATAATAAACCATGAGATGACCAGAACTAACTTTTTGCAGCTATGACAAAATTTAACCCTGAAAATCATTGAAAACATGAGTCGAGTAAAAAATGCTGCAACAATTGCTAGTTTATTTCGGAAAAATTCAAAAAACTCACAAAAAAAAACACTTTGCATATTAATCAACGAAAACAATGTATTTTTGCCGAAACTTCAAGCTATTTAAATTTTACAGATGGTTGATACTATGGCAATAGTTTGTTCGACTTCCTTAACCATTTTTTCTCTATAAACATTCTTTTCAGCATAAGATGAAATTTTGTGGTTTCTGCGATTCGCAAAGGATCTAAAAAAGCTAATCAGCCTGCCTAGAAAATGATTCATTGTCGTCGTGGCTACTCATGCTTTGAAACAACTTAAGTAACTTACGTTGAGAGGGTGTCCCACACTGGTCTTGCTGGTGTCGTGCAGCGAAATTGAATTGGAATTTGATTCATACATGGAGAAGTTCATAGAATCCTCATACATGATCCCCATTTCACTGGAATGCCCATTTCCTTCAGCATTAATCACACTAGCCGCACTGATATTTTCATCTACATTATCTCCTGACTTCATGCTCACATTCGCCGGACGGTTCAAAGCGGTACCTTTTCTCTTGGCTAGTTTCCAGTTTCTATCGGGGTAGCGATACACTTGATCTTCTGTCAACCCAGGCAACCTAAAATTTAATTCAAAATTTTCACTTTCATTGAGATGAGCCAGAGAAAATCATCATTTGTTGAGAACCAGTGGCGGAACACAACAGCCAGTATTGAACTAGCATGAAAAGCTACCGAGCGGTAACTATGCAGACAAAACCGGCATAAAAGGAAAGCCGGAAATTAGGACGAAAGTTACTCTGAACAAGTCCAAACAAACTAAGACAAAAGAATAATCCAAAAGAAAAACTCTGGCGAAAAAACTGTCGTCTATTTCATTTTTCCCGCTATCATAAAGTTCTGGTAGCCTGCTAACAGTTGAATTGCAAATGAAAAAAAAAACGCAAACTAGGACGAGTAGAAACAAATAGCGAAAACAAACCAAATGCAACGTAATTTAAATTTGAAAAAATCTGAAAATTACGCTCAAAATATGAATTAAAAAGATTTAAAAGAATTTGGTTAAATGATAGCACTTAAGGCATCCTAAAACTGAGTGTCTGGCTTAGAGAATTTATCGTTTTACAAAAATAAATAGGCTAGAAAGCACTTTAAGCAAAACAAAAATCAATTGACGAAAAATTGATCAATAATTATACCAAGAAAATAAACCCATGACTTCAATTAGCTTCGCCAAAAAGAACATGATAAGAACAGCAGGCAGCTCAAAAAAATCGAGAGAATATCCTCGCAGAATTTTATTGAAAAGAGAAAACATAACTCGAAAAAAAATGCCCAAAAAAGCAAATTCGAACAAGCCGTAGCAAAATTGAATTAATATCAAAAAACGACTGGAAAAAACTTTTAAAAAAACATTAATCAGATAAGCCGCTAGAATTAAAGCCGACACTTCAAAAGCTGGAAAAACAGCCGAAACTTTTTCAGTAGAAAGATTTGCATCAACCGGCTACAGTGCAAGCACTATACAAGCAAAACAAGTACTCAGCATATTTGTGAAATTACCATTTCAAACTTCTTTTTAAACATTTACCATTCTGTGAACGAAGTTATTTATGGGGCAAAAGTCTAGTACCCGGTTACAATACCTTTGCATTCAACTTATTATGATTTCCTATCTTTTTATCAAATGAGATAGTTCGTGACAAAAAAAAATTTTCTGGTCTAATTCAAGCACCGTCCAAAACTAACTCATTTACAAATCAACATTAAGCCAGAATGTATCAATCGCTAGACATATCCCTAGACAAACTGAGCATCATATAAAGATTAAATAGATTAAACTAAGTCAAAAACATGATACAATACAACTATTTTGAAAATAAGCATTTGAAGTTTTTAAAAAAAATTTTAGGCTCTCATGGATTAAGGCTGCATATGAAACAATTATTAAATTTAAGCGCAACACATCAAATACACACGGTTATGCGCAGACTTTAAACAGTTTACAAATAGTTTGAGTAATATAGGTTATGACTATTAGTGCAAGTGCATCTATCAACAGCATTTCGCGAAAACCAAGACGATTTGAGTCGTTAAACTTTGAGGCCATTTCAACTTTTGCCATTTCTATGGGAGCACCCCACTATACGGTTGGGTAACAAACTTGGTTAAACCATAAAGACATCATGCCGCGGAAACTGAGAAAATCTTGAGCAATCAAATTTGGACGCAAGATTTGCGACCATTAAGAGCGCCCCATTATAGGATTTGTAAACTGGATAATTGGCTAAAATTTTCATATAACCAGGGGAAATCTAAAAATCAATCCCTGTTTTGCAGAAAGAATTTTCCACTTTCGTAATTCAAGAGCATAAATTACCTTCCTTATAGCAAATGAATTCAAAATGAATATGAAAAAAAACATGTCAAACCAAAAAAAAATCAAATTTGGCGTAAAAAACTTAATAATTTCCTGTAAAAAATACCTATTTAAGTGCTTTCACTTCGTTTATTGTCAGCTAAGCAACACAATAAGATGAACGGGACTTTTAGAGAGTGCTTTTCCTTTGCCTCAAATAACTTGTAAAAAGTTCAGAACTGACAAAAAAAGTACCCACGAATGAAATGGGAGTTACTCAAAAATCCGCTATGTCAAACCATGGTTTCCCGAGAAAAAAAATCTATTACAATTAAAGTAACATAATTGCAAAACAATCAATGACTGAAAACAAATGCGATCATATCAATTTCGCAAATGATAATTAAAAAATTAGCGCCCCGGAAAGCTGTGAAAAACGTTCTACTTTTTGTTTTAACCACTCATGTTCTTACACAAGCTTCTAGTTGTTCTTTCATAATCATCAAAAGTAAATGAATAATTCAAAAATGTTCCCAATGATGAACACGAATGGTGAACACGGATGTAAATATACATATCATGTATCGTCAAGATTTATTTTGAAACAAAGACATCTATAACTCTCGTTGAAGTCACGAAAACGCATTGGCCTAACAATTCCTTCATGCAGTAATAAGATTAGCTTGACTGCAATGAAACTTGTACATCCGTGCACCAAAACACCATACTGGACCAGGGATCTGATGTTCGATTCCTCATATTTTGGCACAAAAATTCGGAACTTGGCTATTATTGCAATGCTTACGCATTTTAAATATATAAACACAGAGCAAAAAATGTAGTGAGGTCTGTATTTAGACAGCCGCGTATTCATACTCGTCAGTAAGCAGACAAATGCCATATTAACCAATCAAAATCGAGATTAGAGCAAATTTACGAAATAAATAATTATTAATTATTCATTTCTTCCTTGCCTCAATTCTGATTGGTTAATACAGTATTTGTCTTTTTACTGACGAGCCTGAAAACGCGGTTGTCTGAATACTGCTACGTAACCCAAAAAATATGACCGATAACTCTACTGGGAAAAACTGAATGAGTAAAACTTTGAGTAAAAAAAAAAACTTTTTAAGTGACGCACGCCAATTATATGTTTACATAATTGCTAAGTGACGCAAGCCAATTATGATGCATTAGCAGCCCCGGCCAATTTGAAAAAAAAGAAATTTACCAACTAACAGGCCTCAATTCATAGAGCGGACGCATTTTAACTAGGATACAAAAAAAGTTCATTAGAAACATCCTACCCTGCCCAGGTTCGATCCCTCTAATTTTTTGCGGGTCTCCTTCCCTACCTCTACGCTACAGATCCATGATGCCTTGAAGCTAAAGTGCTATTTGTAAAACATTAGTCTGTGTTAATATCCTGAGCATTGGCTGTAATTTAGCTGGTTATTGATCAAAATGAACACTTTCAAAATGAACACATTTTGTCGCAAAAATATTTGCAAATTAGTTTGGAAAAAAGAGTTGATACTATCACACAAGCTTTGCTTGTGTAATTACTCTGATAGATGACAAAGCAGTTCTTTTGGTACAAAGCAGTTCTTTTTGTTTAATTTAATTGAAAGCTTGTCTTCACGTTCAAAGATAACTCACTTGCAAAGAGCCCCAGACAAAACTTATGATTTCTAAAAACTTGAATTCGAGAAAAAGTTTCCTAAAACTTACTAATCGATTTGCCAATTTTTGTAGTTACCTCTGCGATGGTTTTTATTTCTACTGGACTTTATTCAGTAATCAAATTGTTTCCTATAAATGAATTGAAAACTTTCAAGACATTTGTAATTTCTTTTGAACATAACTCCTTCAAAAGCCTTGTGTATCGATTGAAGCAAGGCTATAAGTCAACGAGTACTCATTTATAACTTTGTCCCGAACCGTCTTTATGACTTGGTAGAACATTTACTTCAAGATTTCAATAGGGAAAAGAGCATTGCAAATTTTGTGATCTGGGGAGCGTGACTTCAAAATGCAGCGTGAATTCAAAATTATGTTGCTGATTTCATCTATGACAGTTAATTCAATTTCGATAATTAAAAATAAAGGACAGAATTCAATTTCAGTGGCTGGTTCAGAAAAGCAACAAATATTCAGGTATACTCCGTTCTATCTCCAAAAAATTAGCTCGAGTTTAAGTGAGCCTTTTAATGTTTCCAAGAAAAATGTTAATTTTATCTGAAATCAGTTATGCTGTTTTCTCTAACACACTATTCTAACACACCCTCTAGTGCTAATATATACTAGAGGGCAGTCAATTTTGTAATTCTATTTGGTCTTTTTTTGCTCATTATGTCGCTGATAGCATTGTTTTTACTTTTTGAAACAAATTCAAAAATGGAATTAATTTGTCTTGATTGACCCGTACAGCTTAAAAATTAAATCATATAGCAAATTCACTGACAAAAACACACTGACTCTGCTGAAAAAATCTTAAATTTGATTTTCTATAAAAAAAATAGATGCCCTTTGAATTTCCACAACAACTTATGAACGGTTTTTGCGCGCCATTTCCACGTTTATATTTGGGGAGTGCTATTTACGTCACTTTCAGCAGATGAATTTCAATTGAACTGAAAAATACATATATATAAGTGCATTCACAAATTCATCAATATGTATGAATGCACATCTGTAGTTATTAGATCAGTTTGAAACTTTTTCCTGAAAAACAAAAAAAGGCAAGACCTATATAAGAGTGTTCACTACGTTCATTCCACTTAATCAAGCATGAAGGTTACCTCGACGCTGAACGGACAAATTAATCCCACCTTAAAAAACTAGTGAAGCAAGTTGAGCAAGTGATTCAGATTTTGATGACTAACAGGTTGACCTAAGAAAAGCCTATTTTCCGATATGATAACGATGAGAAAAAAAAACAAAATTCAACCGACAAAAAATCAAATTTGCGGAAAAAATTTCGGAAAAAAATCAAACCAAATTACATATCTGACATTAATACGCATTCGCTAATTTACTGTCAAATACGCCTTGAGGTAGTTGTTTAAGGTTTATTTGGTCAAACTAACTGTGCCATAAATGCATGGCGCAGTCAGCATGTTCATCTACAAAACACATATGGCACTAAACAGACTTTCAAAGCCATACGAAATTCTTGATAGAAACTTCCTCCTGAACCTTTACCAAAACTCATTATAATCAGGTCGGCAGGGTGAATACTCTCAAAAGCGAATATGTTGAACGAAGACCTTCAACATTTCGAGCAAGACCTTCAACATTTCGAGCAAATTAGTTATATCGTACAAATACTTCCATATATTGACTTCAACAATATACCTGCCAATAATTACCTGTCTTTTTTAGTAACCCATAGAGATCTTCTTGGCTCATGTGCTATACCAGTTTGACTATCTAGGTAGGGATAACTTCTTTCTTTAGCATCTGCCATGAGGCGAACATTGAAAGCAGCACAACTCTCTATGGCTTCCCGATATTGCTCATCAGTGACGCCCGCCTTGTTTCTTGGCGCCACTGCAGCATGTGAACTGGACAGCGAGGAGAGAAAAGAATAAGGATGTCTGCTTGCGCTGGACAGACTCATTTTGATCAGATGGTAGAGCAAAAATCATACGCTTTAACCAATTTGTCTGAAAACAGTCCATACATTTTAAGAAAGGTAGTTCACAATACGGGGGAAATGGCAAAAGTAAAACACAGTTCAGATTCTGAGCATCTTAGTCAACCGTAGATGCACTGATACTGAATTCAATACACTGAATTGAATGCACTAATTCTGTTCTGAATTATTTCGAAAATCCATAACAAAATGGTTTAAAAAATGGGTTTAAAAAACATTAATTGCATTTCGAAATTAATTCGGGACAGCAATTGTATGACATCAATCATAAACAGTTATCAGAGAAATTGTCTGAAAATTTGAACACAGAGGCGAAGCAGAGCTTCGCACCACTTGCGATACAATACAAACACAAAAACTGAGTCGAAAAACATGAAAAAAAATTGAAAAACTAGATCTACAAAAATTTAAAATTTCATAAGTCTCGGTAGAATTTCACTTCAGGCAAGATGTCAGACATTTGAATATTAATTAGCAACATAAGAAAACAAAGCCGACGATCTTTGACATAAAAAGAAATAAATTTAAGATAATGAAAAAACTAGGTGAAACAAATTTTTCGAGTGTCTCGATAAAAAACAAATACAGTCCCAGGCTAAAGGAACGTGCTTAATATTGAATGAGTTTGCTATAATGATGCGGCACGAAAAAGTGATTTCAAAAATTGGACTTTGCCTAAACCACTAGTTGTTCCTCTACTAAAAAAAGTGAGACGAGTAAGAAATTTTAAGATAATCTCTTTTCCAAAGGAATATTTCTCTTCGAAAAAATTAAGGAATCGCAGCTTCTGCCTGCGGTAACAATTATCGCCAACCGTTCTTTCAATGGAACTTTTCATCTGATTTGATTGCGTAAAAATTACGAAAATTCAAGCTTCTAAAAAAACGTTCAAAACTTCCCAAAATCTTTAGTTTTTCAGCAAAAAGCAGGTTATGGCTGCTTGAACAGAGAAGATTTCCAAAACCGGGTTTCTCGATTGAACACAACCTCAGTATTGGCCAGGTAGTTTTCTCGTAATATCAATTAATTTCCAAAAAAACAACTGACAGAATTTCAAAACGTTGACTTATTTGAGGGCAATAACTTTTTTTGAATAAATCGGGCATATCCAAATGGAAAGGTGGCCTTCAACAACCATTCATTCGAATAAACCTATAATATCAGATTTGGCAGGATATTTAGCGAGAAAAGTCAAAAAACTGTCAACAAATGAAAAATTTGATAATTCCGAGAATCATAGCTTTTAAGGTAAAGAAATTTGCAGAAACGGCCTTGCAGAAACGTTATTTAGGATGACTTCACGTAATCTGTAAATTTTATTGAATCCATAATCTCAAATTGGGAGAGTAGTTCTTGAGAAAAATCAAAAATTTACAACAAAAGGTCACAAAATCAAATTTTGTACTTTACCGAGAAGACAAATTTTTGAAGTCAAAAAATTTGTAGGTAGTTGCATGAACTACTTGAAGCCCAAAATATCAGGTATGGCAGTTAGTTTCCGAGAATTTTATATTTGAGTCCTTGGCATTTCAAAAACTGCTTAATGATTTTTTACATAAGTATTGGTCACTTCAAGCAACTGCCTAAAGATTTTTGCATGAGTCTCAAGCAGCTCATTCAACTGCCTAAAAAGTGTTCAATTGAGTCTTGAGCAGTTCACACAAGAATTTGTTGACTTGAGTCTTGGCAAGTTCAAACAAATGCCGATTGACTCTGGTCATAGCTTTGAACGTTTCAGGGGATTGAAGGAATTACAAATGTGAATCACAAACAATTTCGCACATTTGTGTATTAAAACTTTATACAAAGATCATCGATGTTGATGTTATACAAAATACATCATGATTATTCAGATGTTTCTGAGACATTACATCAATTTTTTCTTTCAGTTAAATTAAATTTAAATTTAAGTTTTCGATTTGTCTCATTTTCCGATTTCGGAACATGTCAGTTTTTTTCGAATTTTTCTATTTTTGTATCAACCGAAAATTCGTTTTTGGAACTACAATTTGAGAGTCAGCTCACTGCTCCTGAACTCATTGCGCGGGTTAATTCGCGGTCTCTCCTTCCAGATGTGAAGTACTTCTAATGACAGTAGTTTGACGTTGATCTTAGTTGGCCCATAACCTTCCATGACATTCCCGCGATCGCCCTCGATTCCACACTGTCTGAGATGTTGCCTAGCAGGTAGGTCCTCTTTTCGATCTACGTCAATTATAGTGGCTAGATGTCAAACCTTTTGGCCAACATAGGCGGAGTTACAACGACAACATGAAATTTTGTACACCACTTTTGATTTTAGTTCACGCGAAAAAAAAGACTGTTAGGATGGTAGGCAGGTTTTCAGCTTTCTGATGTGCCAGTCGGTCATATTTGGAAGTTTGACCTTGGTTTGGAAGTTTGACCTTGATTTGGAAGTTTAACCTTGATTTTGGGGAAAAAAGTAATTTTTGAAAAATTCGAATCGACCATGTCATGCTCAAGTTTCTCGCGACAACTGAAAATCATAAGTTAATTATATCAGAAGAGAAAAATGATAATTGCGGGAAAATTAATAAAAATCAGTCTAGGGTAAAATTGCTGTTCGCAATTTTACTGCAATCAACAACTCGAGTAGAGCTACCTTGTTCCTGATAGAGAGGAACGCGTAGTCTTACGAGAGTATCATCGTTGGGCGAGAGAAAATCTTGATTGAGCAGGCAGAAGAATGAAGCTGCCCAAGACTAAACTTATTGATTTAAAACCACTTGTTACAAAAAATTTCTAGAGTTGCTTTACTTATAGCATTTACCTAATTCTAGAGTCGCGTCACTATGTCTGCATTTTATATGATTACGTCGAGATAAGGCGAGTTTTAGGTTGATCCGTCTGAAATGGATCAAAGGTCCACTGTCTAATAAAAACTAATGGTATACTAGAGCTTCCGACCCTGTTTTTAAAGGCGTTCGCGTGTTTTAGGTATGTAGAGACCTAGCCTTGGGGGCGTTCTTATTTCTAGAGTGGGGGTGTTTTGGTAGTGGCCTTTAAGCAATAACACGATTTGTAGTCTCATGTCTTACGCGAACCGAATTGGCTCCGACTGAATGAGGTAAAAAAGCACAAAAGATGGTGTCCCTGAGCCTTGAGCAAATGGTTATAGGGCCTCTTTTTTCTTAACCTCATATGTGACTAAAGTAGACGACAGTTACATATTGTTTTTATGGCGCTCCTCGGTGTTTTACGACATAAAGACTACAGAATCGAACCCAGTTGACGCAGCTCCGGGCTACATGCCTATTCTAGAGAACCTGTGGTACGGTTAAACTGGAACGTGTCCACCGTTTGGTTGTACCGCGATAGCTTTTAAGAATTTGTGAAAAGTTCTCGGTGCGCTTTCTGATACGAGGCCTAGCTAACCGAGTATGGGCGACCATTGGAGAACAAAAAAACGGGTAAGAGACAAGTAGCGAAACAAAAACCGAAAAAAGAATAGAAATAGGAAAAAACCGTAAAAAACTAAATTATAGTGGCTAGATGTCAAACCTTTTGGCCAACATAGGCGGAGTTACAACGACAACATGAAATTTTGTACACCACTTTTGATTTTAGTTCACGCGAAAAAAAAGACTGTTAGGATGGTAGGCAGGTTTTCAGCTTTCTGATGTGCCAGTCGGTCATATTTGGAAGTTTGACCTTGGTTTGGAAGTTTGACCTTGATTTGGAAGTTTAACCTTGATTTTGGGGAAAAAAGTAATTTTTGAAAAATTCAAATCGACCATGTCATGCTCAAGTTTCTCGCGACAACTGAAAATCATAAGTTAATTATATCAGAAGAGAAAAATGATAATTGCGGGAAAATTAATAAAAATCAGTCTAGGGTAAAATTGCTGTTCGCAATTTTACTGCAATCAACAACTCGAGTAGAGCTACCTTGTTCCTGATAGAGAGGAACGCGTAGTCTTACGAGAGTATCATCGTTGGGCGAGAGAAAATCTTGATTGAGCAGGCAGACGAATGAAGCTGCCCAAGACTAAACTTATTGATTTAAAACCACTTGTTACAAAAAATTTCTAGAGTTGCTTTACTTAGTATTTACCTAATTCTAGCGTCGCGTCACTATGTCTGCATTTTATATGATTACGTCGAGATAAGGCGAGTTTTAGGTTGATCCGTCTGAAATGGATCAAAGGTCCACTAGCTAATAAAAACTAATGGTATACTAGAGCTTCCGACCCTGTTTTTAATGGCGTTCGCGTGTTTTAGTTATGTAGAGACCTAGCCTTGGGGGCGTTCTTACTTCTAGAGTGGGGGTGTTTTGGTAGTGGCCTTTAAGCGTTAACACGATTTGTAGTCTCATGTCTTACGCGAACCGAATTGGCTCCGACTGAATGAGGTAAAAAAGCACAAAAGATGGTGTCCCTGAGCCTTGAGCAAATGGTTATAGGGCCTCTTTTTTCTTAACCTCATATGTGACTAAAGTAGAAGACAGTTACATATTGTTTTTATGGCGCTCCTCGGTGTTTTACGACATAAAGACTACAGAATCGAACCCAGTTGACGCAGCTCCGGGCTACATGCCTATTCTAGAGAACCTGTGGTACGGTTAAACTGGAACGTGTCCACCGTTTGGTTGTACCGCGATAGCTTTTTAAGAACTTGTGAAAAGTTCTCGGTGCGCTTTCTGATACGAGGCCTAGCTAACCGAGTATGGGCGACCATTGGAGAACAAAAAAAAACCGGTAAGAGACAAGTAGCGAAACAAAAACCGAAAAAAGAATAGAAATAGGAAAAAACCGTAAAAAACTAAAAAAAGGACAGTGACTTTGATTTCCAGATTAGGTGGGCAAATATCAGTCTTTCATTGCCTCGGTACTGCACCAACATCATAAATGGCGTGTCTGTATTATCCATGCCCCCTTGATGTAGGCCCTTGCCAGGGCTCTTCTTGAACTTCCCTTTGATTCTGTTAAGGGTCCTTGAAACAATCTTATCAGTCCAAGATTCCTTTGCGTACGCCAAGGGTCCTTAAA